CCGCACTGCTCTGGATGGCCAAGATCCTTTGTACACGGGGATGAGGGGGGCATGCCTGACCCGTGGTTGGCAGGCCACAGGCTGGAAGCTGTGTGTCCCCTGGTGGGGAAAGCTCGAGTAGAGAACTCAATTAGAGCAGAGGAGCTAATGAGGCCGGGGTCACGGGTCACGAACTCAGCCCCCTTGTTGGGCTGTTACCTGTGCTCCATTTCACAGCTGCAGACAGCATCTCCAAAGCCCAGCCGGCCGCCTCCCAAATGCACTGGCCCACAAGGGAGGAGCTGGGGACAGAGGAATAAACACTTCTCTACCGCTGGGAGAGCAGTTCCAAAGGTGGCACACAGTCTGCTGGGTCACTGAGCTGGTCAAAGGTTCAGCTCTCATACTTCCCAGCTGTGTGACCTTGCTCAGGACGTTCAACCTTGCTGAATCTGTTTCCTCATTTGTAAAACAGTCAGAGGGATGGCTACTTACTTAGACCAGCCACCTCATGTGGCTGGTGTGAAGAAAATACTTTGACATAATTCACATTTATATAGAAGTATAAGGTTTACCCAGCCCTTTCTACACAAAAAAAGCATGATCAAATAAGTGTGGCAAATAGCATTCCCATTTTATAGATGAGAAAACTGAGGTTCTTAGAAATTATGTGATGTGGCCAAATTGTGTGTGTGTGTGTGTGTGTGTGTGTGTGTGTGTGTGTGTAAACATATTTTGAGGGGAGGGGCAAGTCAGCACCTGTGAACAGAACAGAAAATTCTCAACCTCTGATACATATTATGTGACCTTGGGCAATTCACTTATCATCTCAGTGGCCCCCAAGCAACTCTCTAAGTAGTAGAGAACATACTACTATGCAGTGATAGAAGGAAAGGTTCACTAAGCATTCTTCACATCCAAGAAAATCACATACCTGGAGGTTTTTTTTTTTATTAAAAAGAGCTTTTTGTGTGGAAGTTCCCTCCACTAGAGCTGATCAACAGCTTGACTTTAGAGACTTAAAGTGACTTGTCCAAGGTGACTTGTCTAGCCTGTGTCAGAAGGGGGGGTTTGAACTCAGGTCTTTCTGACTCTAAGTGGGGTCTTCTTTCCACTACACTCTGTGGTTTCTCTGAGATCGCCAAAATTACACAGACAGTAAGATCTGGGATTTGTACCCAGGTCTTCTGGGCATCAGTATTCTTTCCACTAGATGATGTGATCTGAGCTTAGACAGTATGCATTAATAGTGTCACATTCTTAAGTGATGGATAGAAAGGCTTGTTAATATTAGCTAGTATTTTTATATGCTTTAAAATCAGAAAAGCACTTTATAGAGATCCTTACCAAAACCTTATGAGGTAAAGATGGGGAAACTGAGGCTGAGGGAGGTTAAGTCAGTTGCCTAGAGTCACATAGCTAGCAAGCATCTGAATCAGGATGTGAATTCTGTTCTTCCTCACTGCAATTCTAGTACTGCACTCACTGTTTCACCTCACCATCTTATAACTTAATGTTACTGGCTTTGAAGGCTCCATGCATCATAGAATCATCAAATGTTGGGATAATCAGACTAGGAGGTATCGTGGGACTGTGCAAAGAGTGTTGGCTTTGGAGATGAGTCTTTCTGGAGTCAGAAGACAGGTTCAGGTGACTCTGACAGGTTGCTGAAACCTTCTGAGCCTTAGTTTACTCATCTGTAAACTGAGGGGATTGGTCAAATGACTTCTGAGGTCCTTTCCAACTCCAAAGCTATGATCTTGTCACCCTGGGCAAGTCTTCCCTTTACAGCCTTAGTTTCCTTATCTATAAAATGAAAGAGTCTACTCAAATGTCCTTTGGAGCACATTCCAGCTATGGATCTTAATCCCATGGGGGGTCAGACCAGATGACCTTAAAGGTCCTTTCCACCTCTAAATCTATGATCCCGGGATGCCTGTTTTACAAATGAGGAATATATAGGTTCCAAAGAGGGCAATGACTTATCCAAGGCCACACAGATAGTTAATTATAGACCGCAGTCAAACATCTAGCTCTCCTGACATCTAGTTCTGTGCTCTTTCTGGTATAGCCCAGAGATGATTTATCCCTGATGAACCGATGAATGCAGGAAGGGCTGATGAAAATGCTCACTGGTTTCCAAAGACATGAAATCAGCCAGGGAAAGAGAATCCATTCTGGACCTTCCCAGAGCTAAGCCAGAGGGATCAGAGGTTTCTGGCTACAGGGCTTTATAAATCAAGTTTCATAAAATGGGATTTTAAGAACTATGTCTTCCCTTCAGAGTCCAGAGATCATTCAGTTTTGCAGACCAATTATTGTTGAGGTGGGCAATTTCCGGAGAAAGAATGAAGCAGGAAATGAGAGAGTGGAGTCAAAAGAGGTTATAACTCCATTATATATTAATAGTGTGACCTTGGCCAAATTGCTTAACCTCTCTGGGTCTCAGTTTTCTCAGTTGTAAAATCAAGAGAGATTTGGGTTATACTAGATAAACTTGTAAACCCTTTCCGATAATGATGACATTGTTCCACATGGCTCCAAAGGCAGGATGGAGGCAGATAGGGGAAAAGGAGAGAGATGTGTCTGGGGATGGGATTGCATGAAAGACAACTTGGGGCAGTGGAAATTAAAGACAAACAAACAAAAACAAATCCTGGGTCCTTCCTTGAATTCCAACTTTATTTGGAGCTGTCAGCTCCCTTCTCATCAGCAAAAAGAAAGGATTTCCAAGATTCCTTCTAGCTCTAAATGGATGACACTTGAATCCTCTGAATTCTGGAATTAATGCTTACTCGTTGGGCGATCCTTGGTAAATTACTTAGCCTCTCTGGATGGTTAATATGTTTGTTAAATTGAATTGAATTTTCTCTTCCTTGAATGGGTGGAATGATTCTTGCCACGCCTACCTCAAAGGGTTGTCACGACGAAGTGTTTGTAAATTGTAAAATGCTAAAAAAATGGGAATTATTATTGTGGTGATGATGATGATGATGATGATGGTGAACCCTAAGAGTACAGCCCTTTGCTACCTGGGTAGGATCCAGGGATCACAGACCTAAAGTGGGAAAGGATTTCCAAGGTCATCTACGTGAACCTTCTTATTTTTTAGAGGAAGAAAACGAGGCTTCACGAGGAAGTGATTTGCCCAAGTTGCACAGATGGGATGTTGTGGATCCAGAATTTGAACCCAGGTCATATAGGATAATAGGATTACATATTTAGAGCTGGAAGAGACCTCAGATGCCATCTAGTCTAACTCTCTCATTTTACAGAGGCGGTGGTGAGGATTAATTAAGTGTTGACTATGTTCCAAGCACTTTCATAAGCATTAAGGACACCAAAAAGGGCAAAAAGCAGTTGCTGATTCCAAGGAGTATCCATTCTAATGGGGGACACAACATGCAAATAACTCGGTTTATATAAGACAGATACAGAGTGGATGGGAGGTAGTCTCAGAGGGAAGTCCTAGTACTGGGTATGTGTGCACTGGGGGAGCCCACGGAGAGTAGACTCAGAGTTGAGTCTCGAAGGAATCCAGGCAAACCGAGGGGAAGGAGAGCAGCCCTCAAGGCATGGGGGACTGTCACGGCAAAGGCATGAAGGCAGGAAATGGAGTGTTGTGTTGTGGGAACTTCAAGTAGCCAGATCATAGAGTATGTGGAATAGAATGAAGCATGAGAAGCCCAGACAGATGAGAAGGGGCAGGTTATAAAAAGCTTTAAATGCTCAACAGAGGATTTTGTGTTTGATCCTGGAGGAAAGGCAGTGCCATTGGAGTACAGTGAGTGAGGGAAAACACAGGCAGACCCACACTTTAGGAAGACCCCTTGTGGTTGAGGGAAAGACAGATTGGAGTGGGAGGAGATGTGGCAGGGAGATCACAGGAAGGGCTATTGAAGGAGTAGTCCAGGAGAGAGGTGATGAGGGCTTGTGGGAAGACACATTCAGGATGGAGCAGCAAAAAAATCTGTTAGGCCACAACAGACACGGGTGAGAAGATCCAGAATTACCCAAAGACACATCATTAGTAAGCAGCAAGGCTGGAATTCGAACTCAGGTCCTTTGGCTCCAAATCTAGGGCTTTTTTCAACTGGACCAAGATGTTTCAGTAAGAATAAGAGCTAAGATCTCTGCTGGCTCGGGATCATGCATGCTTATTTCTGTGAGTCTCAGTTTCTTCCTCTGGAAAATGAAGGTGTTGCATCAAAAAGGTCCCCTCCAGCTCCATCCTTTACAACCTCCATGAGCTCCACAGACCATAGAAGTCTCGGAAATTCACTGGAATTCTCAGGGCTGAATTTCCTTTTCCTTTTTTGGCCACATGATGTCCCCATCACATCACAGTAGCAGCTTCAGAGGCTCCAGCCTGTCTCTGGAACTGGGGCTCTTCACCTTGTGTGTGCGTGTGCGTGTGTGTGTGTGTGTATGTGTGTGTGTGTGTGAGAGAGAGAGAGAGAGAGAGAGAGAGAGAGAGAGAGAGAGAGAGAGATGGCTCCCTTTGGCAATCTGGTATAGCCTATCGACCCCTTCTCAAAAAAATGCTTTTAAATTCATAAAATAAAAGGATTAAAACAAATTAGAAAGGAAACCAATTACATTGAAGTAAAGATGTATTTTTTCCCCATCCAAGTTCACAGATCCCTTGAAATCTCTCCACTGACATCTTGGGGGTCTTTGCATACAAGGTTAAGAATTCCTGGGGGAGTATCTAATACTTTCAGCAGATGATCTGAAATCAGAATCAGGGTTTACTCTACTCTGTTCATCTAAATTCACTAGAGTGATACAGATTCAAATTGCCCCTTGCCTCACTCACCCCAGCCCATTGTCCCATAGTTTTCCATTTTGTTGCCAAAGAACTTGAACCGCGATCAGTACCCTTAAAATCTGACACCCTGTACCAAGCCCTAGTTGGCCCACCCTTATTATAGTGTCGATTCCTCCCAATTCAAAATCCTTCGATCTTCCAAGAAATGAGAAAGGGAGGTAGAACTCATAAGGGGCTGCCCCACACTTACCTGAGGTACTCACAGAGTCCGTACATAGGTAGGAAGTCAATGTCAGAGAGAAACATGTATGGCGTGCTGATGTGCTTCATGGCCACATTGCGCAGAAGGTTCACAGGGTAGAACTGGCCCTCTTTGTACACGATGTGATAGCCAACATTGTGGCGGCTCATGAGGACCTCAGAGCCCTGGGCATAGCGCAGGAACTGTTGGGCTTCAGCATCAGACAGGTACAGGGCCAAGCTGATGGGCCCCTCCCAGTGTTTGCAGATGGCCTCAAGCATCTGGAGCCTGAGAAGAAACCACAACATAGCCAGGGTGAGCTGAACCCTCCTCACTCACATTTCAACTTCTTTTTACCCACTTTTCCTTTTTACACTCTTTTCCTCTTCTCTCACTCCTCTTTTCCTCTTCTCTCCTCTCTTCCTCTCTTCTACTCTTCCCTTTCTTATCCCTTTCTTTCTTCTCTCTTCCTTTCCTCTTCTCTCTCCTCCTCTACTCTACTCTCTTTTCTTCTGTTCTCCTTTATTCTTCTCCTTCTTTGCCTCTCCTACCATTTCTGTCTCTACATCTCTCTGTTTCTGCTCATCTCTGTATTTGTCTCTGTCTGTCTCTCTATGTCTCTGCTTCTGCTTTTGTTGTCTATGTCTGCCTCTGTTTCTGTCTCTCCCCTTCCTGCCCTGCCTCCTTTCCTCGCTTTTGTTCACCAAATGAAGTGATTTAATTAAGGTTTTACCTGACTAGTAAGTAGAGGAGTTGGAACTCAGACCCAAGCCTACTGTCTGCATCCCAGAACCACCATTTACTACCTCTTTGACCTTGGAGAGTTCCTTTAACCTGGAGGATGCCTTGTACCATTGTGGAGAGAATGCTGGAAGGGGATTAAAATTCCTGCTTTGCTCCTTGTTACCTGGGTGCCACTGGCCAAGGACCTTTACTAGTATCAAGTTTCCTCATCTATTAAATGAGGAGTTTGATCTTACATGGATTCTCACTCTAAGTCTGGGGCCTTATGACTTTCAATCCAGGTGATGGTGTACAGGCAGGTGTAAATTGGAGATAATTGTGCCTTGATTTCTTTGTCTCATGGACTCATAGTGCTAAAGATGGAAGGGACCTTACTGACCATTTAATCCAGTACTCAGCTCTACAGATGAGGAACCTGAAGTCCAGGGAGGGGCAATGTCTTTTCCAAGTTCATAGGATCACCTCAGAGGCTACCTAGTCCAGTCTCTTCAATTTTAAGAAACTGAGGCCCAGATGTTTAAAGTGATTTCCCCAAGAACACACAGAATGTGTCATATAGAAATTTAGTTTGAATCCAAGTTTTCTGTCTCCAGAAGCTGTGCACTTTCTATTGTATTTTTCCTATTTTTCTTCCTGATCCCTTCCCTTCCTCTCTCTCTCCTCCTTCCCTCCTTCTCTTCCTTTCACCCTTCTCCCTATCTTTTTTCTCATCCTTTTCTCCTTCCCTCCCTTCTGTCCATCCATCCATCTTTCCTTCCCCTTAAAAAATGGCCCAACCACACTGGAAGGCACATTTCTCCATCTACTCATCTACCTGAAGGGGTGCCCTGCTTGCAGTAGTCATTTGATAAAGCATGCTGTGACCACAGCAAGGGCTTTCAAATAAAGACATTCTACAAAAGTATTTGGAAGAAAATCTTTAAAGATCTTTTTTCAAAGGCACTTGGAACACAGAGGACATAAAATATAGAGTTCAGCAATGGCCAGAGCCAATCTCCATTTTCCCTACCCAGTAAGAACTACCTAATGACAGCCCCCCAGCCACAATGTCCACTCTATTCAGACAATTTTGAGGAAATGGATTCTATGCATTTTGGGGTCTCTAAACTGTAGGTAAATGGCCCACCTATCTTGGGTAAATGGGGTTCCTGATGGGCTCTCCCAGGTTCTTCATAGTAGTACTCTGAATTGGCATTGTTAGAATTCACTTCATCTTTGAATACAGAGAATTGAGGGCTGCACTCATGTAAAGTTTCCCCATTCTTCACCATCTATTATGGTTGCTTAATCAAATTGACTAAGATGATTTTTTGGGTAAGAATTTGTTCCAGGGCTTAATCTCACAGTGAGGACCCAGAAAGGAGTTCTTTTTAACTTGGGTTCCCTGGCGTGGCAGAAGAGACATGGGATATGGTGCCTTTTCCACCACCGTGGTTCAAATTTTGGCTCTGGCCTGTCTACCTGGGTGACCTTGGGTAAGTCATTGGACCTCAGTTTCCTCATCTGTAAAATGTGGATGTTGGACTCATAGAATCTGAAAGTTTCTTCCAACTGTAAGTCAGTGATCTTAAGATCTCTGAGGACCTTGTTCCTAATTTGTTTGAGTTCTGGTAGGAGGAGGAAAATAATAAGAACATAGAGTGCTTTTATTTCAAAAAAGCTTTCTACCTATGTCTTCTCAATGATCTTACAATAACACTGGGAGATAGGTGTTATTATTAACTCAACTTTATAGATGAGGAAACTGAGGCTGACAAGGTTAAGTGACTGTCTAGGGTAACACAGCTAGTAAGTATCTGAGGCAGGATTTCACTGCAGGTATTCTTGATTTTCATCACCTATCTCCCTGAGGGAGGAAAAATCTATTCTCACTCCATTTGTGTCTCTTTTTTCTTTTCTGTCAAATGGGAGTATAGTCACCTTTATAGATGCATGGCCTGAATGAAGTACTTAAGAGTTATCTGAATGGAAGGAAATGAATCTCAAGACAAACTGGGAGTGAACAGCTGAGGCTCAAGGACTGATGGAAGGGACAGATATTTGACTGTGAATGATGTAGAATAAGTTAGTGGAAAGAGCACTGAATTTGGAACCTGAAGATAGAATCTGTCATCCCTGGAGTCAAGCCCTATTCCTGCCTTTACTGGCTGTATGTCTTTGGACAAGTGACTGGGAATCTCTGGGCCTAAGTTTTCTCATCTGTTACAGGGAATATCCAAGATTTAGACCTGGAAGGTCTTCTAGTCTAACCCTCTCATTCACATGGGAGGAAACTGAGATCCATAAAGTTTAAGTGACTTGTCTAAGGTCACACAGATAAGAATGATAGCTAGCATTTCTAATGTGTTTCAAGCTTTGTGTTACAAAGCTTTTTTTAGAAATATTATCTCATTTGGTCCTCATAACAACTCTTCAAGGTAGGTGCTATTATTATCCCCATTTTACAGTTGAGGAAACTGAGGCACACAATGTTTAAGTGATTTTCCTAAGTTCACATAACTAGTAAGAATCTGAAGTGAGGCAGTGAGGTAGCACAGTGGATAGAGCACTGGCCCTGGAAGCAGGAGGACCTGAGTTCAGATCTGGCCTCGGACACTAGCTGTGTGACCCTAGGCAAAGAGGGGGGAGAGAGGGAGGGAGGGGG